AATCCCACAGTTGGTCCCAATCTTTTAGAAGTAGTTGACTATGAAGTTCCACAACTGATGAAGTGACAACAGGACGAGACTGAGTAAACAGGAGGCAAATGCACAATGGAAGTAAATGAGCATGTGCGTACAACTTTGGAGAGGCCCACTGTCCCTTCTCTTCATATGACAGCAACTATCCACTGGGGGAAAAGCCATTTGTATCAGCATGCTGAAAGTCAGACGGTCCTCCTATACTTTTTGTCTTTCCACTCTCAACATTCTCTCCAAATCTTTCTTTTTTCATACCTAGAATATTCAGGACTCTTGATGTTCCAGTCCTCTTTTTGGAAGTGCTCATCCTAACAGCCCCCTTTGAACAATCAGTGCTGTTGCTGGCTGTAACCCTCTATCGTTATCACTTAAGGCGCTGAAACATGGGTCTGCTGCCACCATGTCTACTTCAGTCACTGTTTTCAGCACAAAGAGATGGATTTTGAAACTAAAATATCAAACTCCTCTATTATCATTGTTAGAGGGGACAGAAAACTAAACCAGTGAGCCTGTCTGATTCACCTGGGAATAGCTGAATTTTATGATTTCACAAAGGATGATCAACAAATGTTACTACCTTTTTCTAAATGTTAAAACTGAAAACATGCCATCAAATAGCAGAGCCAATTCTGTAAATTGAATTGATTTATATCATCCCAACTCAAACATTATGTCAGCCCTTATTCCCTCCATCCTGCCTCACTAACCTGCTTTTTGTAACATCTGACCTATTGAAGAAATCTGGGGATCTCAAAAGCTTACTCATTTTCTGTGATCTTTTGAGGTGTCCTAATATAAAGACAATAATGCATCTACCATATTGATGCAAATCAGGTCTGGGGCTGGTCTGAGCTTGGAGAAGAGATCAGCTAGGGAACCTGTAGCTACCTTGAGTTCCACAATGGGAGAAAGATGGAATATAAATATAATAAACAAATGAAAGCAGTATAATATATGGATTATGTTATTTAAGGCAGCAATAGTTTCTTTGAGTATTCCTAGCTCTGCTGATAAAAGAAATGAATGTCATTTGTTAACTGCATTCAGAAATTAGGATTAATGCTGAAGTAAAATTTTGGAGGAATTTTACACATTAGCCAAATTTCAGATTAATGCAAGCTATCACTGTAACTAAGACACTGTTTCTCTCCATGATGGCTGATATTTAGCTTCTTGACTTGCTATTTGATATAACTTCATGATCAAAGAGTATACAATATTCTGAAAATATAGTAAATTTTGAAGAATACCAAAGAGTTATGTTTAAAAAAATCTGGTTGTAGAACTGCATTATGGCTAAGCAAGTATATTAGGAAAGACTTATTTACCACCAAATGGGAGTCATGGGTGCAAAGGTAAGGGCAAAAAGAAACACGTTATCTAAGAGATATTACTAAAGAGTGGCACTGCCATCTTGTGTTTGTATTTCTATAATAAATTCTATCTCCTTTTCCAGATTTTTTGGAAGATAAAATGTGGATAGCATGGATCCCTCCTCGAAAAAAAACTCTGCTTACTGTTACACAAATGCAGACTGGTATTTATTTTGGGCTCTGTCTTACTTACTTATTCATTCAATTTGTATGCCACCCCACTAGCCACTGGCTCTCTGAGAAGCTTACATGATAAAAAGCATAAATGCATATGCAAATTTAGATATTTTTTTTTAAAGGACCCACAATTTCAGCATTCCCCAACCTATCTAAACCTGTACAGGATTCTTCCTTTAATTGGTTAATTGAAACCCATGCTATAATTTCATTTTATGATAACTACAGCTCTGTGAAGGCTTGGAGGTATTGAAATGCTCAAGGTTAGCCTATGAGCATCATGTTTTTCACTTTCGGCTATCTGCATGATATTGGTCGCTCTTTATTTGGCATCACCATACTCAGCCATCTGAGTATCTCTCTATATTAAATTACTCCACCTAATGATTTCGCTCCATTGACTTGTAACAGTGAAATAAAGCTAGAAATCTGGGATTAGATCCATATTTATGATGGACCTAGGGATGGGTGAACATAATAGAGTTCAAGATTCTTCCCTGAAGCTTGTTTAGCCTCAACTGTATTCCTGCAGACTTCTTTCTTTTTCTAGTTTTCTCTTTCCATTTCCCTTTCTCCCCTTGCTCTCTCAATCTCTCCCTCTCTCACTCTCTTCTCCCCCTTTCTTCTTTTTCACTGAATTGGTTTTTTTTTTTTTTTTTGTGGGACACAAAAATGCATTTTTTCTTCAATGAAAAGGGAAAATGCATTTTTAAAAATGTGTACTTTCTCTTCATAGGCTAATGCATTAAATGTTTGAAGAGGATACTAAAAAAAATGTTCACTTGCAAAATTGTGCACTTCTGCATGTCATGAGTAAACAGTTTGGAACACAAACACAAGTATGGTAAATGGCCAAAAAAATCATGAACAATGTGTTTCCTCTTAGTTGTGAATAGCTACATCATTTGTAAACAAGAAAATTTTATCCATTTCCAGCTGAATGTGGAAGTGGACCTTGTGCCTTCCCAAAGCACCCACTCTAGCATTGTGAGTCAGGAGGCCTTGGTGAATGGAATAAGATGTGGACAAGTAAGAAAATAGTGGATAGACCTGCAGAAGGCAAATCTAAGCTCTCAGCTGCAGGATCTGGGGCCTGGCATGCTGCTTAGCATGGCCTTATGGATAACATGGAGCCAGTGGGCACCATTTTGGGAATATGAAGCTTCTGGCATCTACAAATTATCTGATAAAGGTGGATTTTTCAGAACTTCTTCATAAGCCCAAGAATCTCCATAATATAGTATGCGTATAGGATGGTAGTAAGTGAAATAAATATGGGACAATCATTTTTTTCACTGGTTCAAAGGGTCATCTTCCAGATTTTGTCCTCCTAAAGTTTTTTTTGGCAAAGTGTTTGAAATGGTCTTGATAGTTGTCTAGGTTTGTTTAAGCATGAATAATACCAGAGAATAAATGCTGGCAAAAGAAATTGAATGTGCTGGAATTCTGATCTCTCCAGCACCTTTTGCAAGTCATATATTAGCAGTAATGAGGTGGTTTGCCAGGAGCTGGAGCACTGATCTGAACTAATGAACCATTGCTAGGTACAGCACCTTGACAACAGCTTTAATAAACCTTAGCTAATTTGAAGAATAAGAAGTTTGAAAGCAACAAAGCTGGTAAGGCAGTACCTTTGATTGGAATCATATCAGCTACTTAAAAAGAGATAAAACTACAAAAGATTTAACATATACTCTATTATTTCTTGTGTGCTGATATGTATAGAATTCAAAGTGGTACATGGCATGACTCTGTATTGAACAGCACATTCTAAAAATAGTAAAGGCAGTACACTTTCTTATCAAAAAATATATATTTGGGACTTTGAGCCTGCAACTTTATAGATGTGCTGTGCATTCTTCATTATATCATTAGCTGTTATTTCATCTCTCATGAAAAATATGAATGAAGCTAGGTTACAAAGATTAAATTTTGACTTTTCCTATTCATCTGGATCATTACACAGGTGAGCAGATTAGCTAAAAATAAGCTAAGCTATTCCCCTTGCTCCAGCCACCAAACCCATATTCAGCCTTTCAGTCACTCTTTCATCAGCTTCACAACTCTCTCTCTCCCCCTCCCCCTCTATCTTTCTCTCTTTTAGTTGGGAATCACCCAGACTAAATGAGAGCTCTGCAGAGACGTACTGAAAGGATTTGGAACTATGACTTGTCTTCAGCGTTATGGGCAGCTATTTTCAAGTATCCACAACCCTAAATTGTAAAAGGGAGGAAGCCAAGGAGCAAACTAGAGAAGTTCTTATGAAGTTGCTTTCAGCCCATAATTTAGGGCTACAAGACTTTCTTTTGCAGCCCTGGACAGCGTGAAGACTGCAGATCCCAAAACAGCCAGATGATAGAAGGAAATTCTATGGAGCAAATGGATCTTGGTAAAAAGCAAACATTTGCTCCTTACCAAACATTGTTGGGGATGCACTAAAACACAACTACCCATTGAATTCAATAAGGAAACATAAGATGCTGCAGCTCTGTAAATACCAAACAGTCAAGACTTATGTGGACCATCCTGAATTGTGGCACTGCACTTTAATCTGAACTAAAGAAACGCTGGGGCTTTGTTGTTATCCCTATTTAATATTTAGATATTATATATTGCCTTTAGCCCCAAAAGGTCTTCAAGGACCTACACAACAACCTATAATTAATACAACAAGCACAACGCCATGCATTTAAAGCATCATTAACAGCAGAAAGAAGAATGGAAGAGATTCATAAAATGAAGGGCAGAGCTGTGCATGTTACCAGCTATATGAAACAAACCAAGAAAGACTAATAGCCTACTTAAAATTGATTGAAGAAGGAGCCAACCTAACTTCTTTTTGGAGAAAGTTCCACAGAGAAGCCATTCTCCGTGTTACTATAGAGAAACCCTTCCCATGTTTCCTACAACATAAATTTCCCTGGTGTTCAGGGAAGAAGAAAAGCATTTGTGGAAGGTTTTCAACTATGAATGGCATGTTCACATGAGAGAAGGTATCCTGACCCCAGGATAGGGATAGGTGAATCTAATGATTTTCTGCATTCGAAGCTCCTGCATTCGAAGTTCTTAAATCTCAAGTTCTTCCCACCCAAAATATAAACAATTTATATTCTTACCAACATCTTAAAATTAAATTTCACCAGCCAAATCCAATAGTTACAGCTATTGCCATTATTGACAGAACAATGACATACCAGCTTCCCATATGGCTGTTAAAGATGAAGACAGTGTGAGAAGAACTAAGTACTAACAAGGTTGAATAAATAGGGATTTAAAGACAGACTTTAAAAAGCAAGTATCTCAAAATTCTGGCCATAGATGAATAAATAGATACTTTTATTTATTTATTTAAGTTATCCCACACTTGGTTACAAAAAAGCAAAGCAAACCCAAAACAAAATTCTCACCCATCCATACCTTGAGCTGTTTAGGACTTTACAGGCAAGCACAAGCACCTTGAATTGCATTTGGAAATAGACTGGCAGTCAGTGCAGCTGATACAAGGCAGATGTAATAGAGTCAACAAAGCATGAGTCAGAAGGCTAAATGCCCATTGCATTTTGTGCTAGCTGTGATTTCTGACACGTTCCAAGGGTAATCACAGGACAGCATGTTACAATAATAGAAATGGGGCAGGGAGAGTGATTAAACATGAGTCATTGTGGCCAGATTTGCCTGCTCTAAGAAGTTAACAGTACCAATTGAAGCAGGCAAAGTACTCTTGGTCGCAGCAACTACCTGTCCTTCCATGAGCAATTCCAGGTCTAGAAGTGCACCCAAGACGTAAATCTGATCCATTAAAGAAAATTCCACCCCATCCAGTCTTAGGCATACCCCAAATCTAAGATTAGCTTTTCAATCCACAAACAATATAGCTCTCTTTTCTGTCTGAGCCTCAACTTCTTCACCTACATTCGGTCCAAGTCTGTGCCCAGGCAACAGTTCAGGAGTTTCCCAGCTTCCTTGGTATCAACTTGCCCAGAGAGTGGTACTGGGTAACATTAGCATTCTGGTGAGACCCAGCCCCAAAACTCTGCATGATTTCCCCTGGGGGATTCATGTTGATATTAAATAGCACAAAGGAGCAGAAACAACCGAGCAGTGTGAGTTTAACTGGCTGAAAGAAGATATCTAGTCCTCCGCTTCATCTGCTGCTATCTGCCCCCAGGACTGCTTTCTTATTTCTTCTTCTTTCCCTGAGCTTAGCTTGCTTTGCTTTGTTTGCTTGTTTGACTGGTGCTCCTTGCTACTGAGTGTTAACAGCTGGGAATTATGCTGTGGCTGGTTTGGACCAGAATCCAATCTGTGATTGAAGCAGCTCTGGGTAGAGAGCAATAAAAAATCAGTCCTGACATAGGCAGCCAGTGTGACTGCAGAGGGATTGATTCAGAAGGGGTGAAAACAAAGGAAGAGAGAACCATGGGTGAGCCCAGTTAGAAAGAATACATTAACTTTTAGTCTATATTCTCCTTTAATTTGGAGATTTGGATAATTTTCCCCACACATATCCCACCTAGGTTCCCAAATTTGGATGAGGTTACAAGCCTGGGCACACTGGTAACATTCCTGTGCCCAGCCAGTGGTGGTGTTGGGGGTGACACTGCCACATATGTCCTTTAACTGGCAAGCAAAACAAAAATTATTTCCATCTCAGGGATCCTTGTATATGAAAGTTGTTGTGACGAGAATGCAGGGGGCTCAGGATGTAGTTTCTAGGGAGCTAAATGTCAGTCCCAAGTAGTAGGCTATCCTAGAAAACTACAAGTCCCAAACTTTTTTCCTTATCTGTACATCAAAAAAGTTCCATTTTGGTTTTGACAGAAGAAATATTGTACTCAGTTTATAATGCATAATGACATTATGAACGGGAAAAAGTCATATCCCAGGTTCAGTAAAAACAAAGCAAACTCCACTCACACATGCACTTTCTCTTTCCCATGTTTCTTTGTCACAGCTGAAGTCATCATTAATCATGATCTCCACTGACCCTTGCATTGGCATCCTCAGTTCTTAAGAAGCACTTTCATGACTGGGAGTACATTGTGTTATAAGAGACATTTATGTATAATATGTAAGGCTAAAGCTCATTTACTTGGAGGTACAGTGGTACTCCGGCTCACGAATGCCTCAGTTCATGATCAAATCGGGCCATGAACAAAAATTTCATAAAAATTTTGACACAAGTTGCGAACTCTACATTGGGTGGTGACCACAATCATGGCCATCTCCCCACCTCCCCCAAGTTGGGAGATGGCCACAATCATGCTGGGGGTGGGGGTGGGGAAGTGGATGAGCATGCCCATAATTGTGCCTGTCTTTCCTGCACAAGTGCACCTGTAATTGTGCCCATCTTTCCTGCATGTTTGCAACCGCGATCTTGGCCCTCCCCCCTCCAATGCACCTGCATTCGTGCCCATCTCTCCCCCTGAGTGTGCCTGCGTTCACACCCATCATTCCCCCCCCCAGTGTGCCTATGTTTGCACCCATCTCCCCCCCAGAGTACCCGCAATCGTGCCGTCTGTTCCCCCAGCGTGCCATGATGACGGGTGTGATCACGATCATTCTGGGGGAGAGTGGGGAGATGGCGACACTCATTCTTAGGGGGGGGGTGGGGGAGATGGCCACAATCTTTGTTGTTCTTTGTCACTTTGCTTCACATTTTTCTGATTAAAAAAAAAATAGTTACAGAACGGATTAACCTTATTTACATTGAACCCTATGGGGAAGTTTAACTTGGCTCATGACCAATTTGGGTCGGGACCAGAGTCCTGGAATGGATTAAGTTTGTGAGCCAAGGTACCACAGTATATCATGCATCCAGTACACTTTTATATTGCATTTAATGAACATAGTCTTCAAGTTCCATGCATTCTGCAAGCACACCTTGAAACATGGATTTGGAGCTATTCACCAATTTGATTTCTCATTTGGCTAAGGCTAAGTTTGCATTTCTGAAAATCAGACTCATTACTTTGTTACCTTCTCACAGAAATATGTACCTGAGAGGTATTGAAGGACAGATCATGTACATTTCTTTGGATTTCTTTATGGTTTCAGGTTCTTGAATGGGTTCAGGTTGTGACACAGCATTGATCATAGTATAGCGAAACTGAAAGGTAACTATGCCAATGTCAATATATTGAACAAGCAAACCAGCAACAGCAACAAAGAAACAAACAGAAAACCATAATATTGTCCTTAATATACACACTTTGTGACACACACACACATACACGATGAAGTAACTTATCAACAGAGACAGAATAATGAATATTGTAGCATTACATCATTGTCTGTCTTAGAAAAGAACTTTACTAAGTTAGTAGTACTAGAAGTGTGAGTAACTAATTGGCAAAGTCCAATTTAAGTAAAGGCGATAAAGAAATGAAAGGCAGGTCCCATGAGAGGTCCTGGAAGCCTTTACAACCTACCATCCACCACCACCATCACACAACATTGTTGCCACTATCTTTTTTAAGTTTCTGCCTGAACTGACTTGAAAGAGGAGAACAGTTTCTTCCCAGGCTGCACCATGGAAGGAAAATCCCAGCTCACACTGAAGCCCAGACGGGGCATGGGGGATAAAAGGAGTTATTTCATGCCTGACAGAGCAGAAAGGAGGCAAACCAGGAGTTCTTCCCACAGCTACTCTTCTCTTCACATCCTCTCCCTGTTTCATTAATGTCCACAATAAAGTCCACATTAAAGTCACTCTAAAAGCTTTTCAAATCTCTACGTTCAACATGTATTTCTCTGACTCATTTAGCTTGCCCCTCTGTTCAAATTGTTCATCTTCAAATCTCTACCTTCTATAGCCCCTTTCAGAGAATCAATAATTCTTTTGTCACTGTTCCCTTCCTGCCTCTGCTCTCAAACCTTCACTAATTAGTAGAGATATGAAAGAAGGATGTACTTGCACTGTAAAATATTGACCCAATGTGTGAATGTTAGGAATGGACCCCTGGGAGGGTCAGCAGAGATAGGAACACTGAATTTAGGGACATCATCCATGTCATTCCCTCTCCTACCATTCATGAAAGCAAAGAAACTGATTTCTAAATAAGGGTTCTACCACTGTCAGAGTCCCATTTCTCTCAGTTATATCACACCCCTGCCCCCAAAATACATATGTTCCATTTAGCTATCATTCTCCTAGAAAAAAAAAATCTGTCCAAAGGGAAATGTTCTACCTCCTTCACTGTCATTTCCATTATAGTGCAGTGCTTAGAATGCTGGGCTGGGACTTGGGCGATCCAGTTTCTAATCAGACATGAAGCTGGGAGACTAAAGCCAAGAAATACAAAGAAGATTGAGCATTGAAGGGCGGTAATGAAGGAACTAGAAAAGATAATCAAGTGTGCAACATTTTACTGGAGACCTAGATCAAGGTAATCCCAACTATTGTATTCTGGTGTGAAAACTGTACAACAAAGAGATCTGACATGAATAAAATTTATGAGTTCAAAACATGGAGCTGTAGGAGAGCTTTGTGAAGACCCTGGACCAACAGAAATACAAACAAGTGGGTCCTAAATCAAATCAAGCAGAGCTTTCCCTAGAAGCAAAATGACAAAACTGAGGCTGACATGCTTCAGATACACCAAGAGAAGACAAGGCTCATTAGAGAAGACAATTGTATTTGGGAAAGTTGAAGAGGAAATACAAGATCAAATGTGAGATATATTGACTCCATAAAGGAAGGAGTGTTTTGAACTCAGGAGAGCTGAATGGAGATGTCATGGACAGGACATTACAGATGGCTTTCAGAAGGCCATGATATGCCATCTATTGAAGATTATTTGATGGCACACAATGAAAACAAATTGAATATAAATGCAAAATTCTTAGAGTATCACTTTGTCTCAGTCTTTTTCTTCTCCCTCCCTCCCTCCCGCCTCCTATATCCTCCTACTCATCATGGTTTGCAGGATTGGAAAACTGACTTGGTTTTGTTTGTTTCTATTTTGTTTTGTTTCTGATTGAGCATATTACAGATGTAGAAGTCACTTGGAAGCATAGGATAGAAGTGAAAGTGGGGAGAAAAGTTGTGTGCTTCACAACTGAAGTAATATGCATGGCTGTCTAATGAAGGCCCATGTAAGATTATTAAATTCATGGGCTCAGGTTACATTACCTAGCTACAGTACTAACTTCAGGAAACAGAAGGTGCTGAATCAAAGTGGGAGTTTCCTACACTTGTCATCTATCATCATTAGTTAACCTGTTCTCTAAAATACATGTCAACTAACCTCTATCAGATGCTGAAGCACCAAATGACCTTTAAAACTGAGCTCAGTAGAAACCTGTTTATACATGCAAAAGTATTTCTGATACTATAGATGAACTGCCTAGTTTCTCAAGGCAACAGTAAAGAAAGGACAAAGCATTGCCAGAAGCTCATTTACTAATGTCAAGACATATTTGTAGTTTATTCATCAATGACTGTCTTTTCTGATCCTGCGTGGTGAAATACAGTGACAAAGTCATTTGAAAGGCAGCTGTAGAAAAATTACACCTGATGAAAACAGGTGTGATA